CCAGAAAAAATCAGGACAATAGTCCATGGTTCCATGGAAACATCAGAACAGTAATCCACTTTTTCATGGTAAAAAACAGGACAATAATTTCTATGGATAAAATCAGGACAATAATCCACATTTCCTTGGAAAAAAAATCAGGAAAATAATCCAGATTTTCATGGAAATAATCAGGACAAGAATCCACATTTCCATGAGAAAAACCAGGAAAATAATCCAGATTTACATGGTAAAATTCAGGACAATCATCCAGATAATCAGGACAATAATCCACATTCCTGATGGAAAAAATCAGGATAATAATCCACATTTCCACTTTTATTTTCTCCATAAAAGTCCAATCTTCCATCGCTCCCACCAGAATTTTTTTTTTTATTAATCCCTGCTTTTCCAAGAGGAATATGTTTCCCTGCACTCCCACCAGTCTGTGAATAAAAATTGATTTTTTCCTGATTTTTCTGCTGTTTTTCTCACACAATTTGGTGTTTTCCAGATGCTTTTAAGGAATTACATCGAGGAATGTAAATTCCCTCCGGATCCAGATGCCGTGTGTCGATATCAGCARTGCCATGGTTACTCCAAAATCCAAATATATTTCACAGACCCAGATTTTAAGGTAAATTTTCAGTTGACAAAGCTTTGAGAAGCCAATTTTAAGGCATTTTCTGAGCTTTTTTTTTGTATTATTTACTGAAAAAAAATCAGGACAATAATTCTTACTTTTGTGGGAAAAAATCAGGGCAATAATCCACATTTCCATGGTTAAAATCAGAACAATAATCTGTATTTTTATGGTAAAAATCAGGACAATAATCTACATTTCCATGGAAAAAAATCAAGATAATAATCCATATTTCTATGGAAAAACAGAACAATAATCTGTATTTCCATGGAAAAAAATCAGGATAATAATCTGTATTTTTATGGTAAAAATCAGAACAATAATCCACGTTTCTATGGAAAAAATCAGAACAATGATCTGTATTTTTATGGTAAAAGTCAGGACAGTAATCGACATTTCCATGGAAAAATATCAGGATAATAATCCACATTTTCACTTTTCTCCATAAAAGGTCAGTTTTCATTTCTCCCACCAGAGCACTGTTTTAATTTCAGCGCTGTTTTGCCTTGTTTTATTTTTATATATAATATTATAAATAAAAATAAATATAATAAAATATTTTATAATTTTATATTTTTATTATAAAAATTTTAATATTTTATTTTTAAAATTTAATTTTTTTCCCATTTCTGATTTTTTTAGGGTTTTATACGAATTATTTGCTGCCACCAGTGCAGGGTGGAGTTCCACATCAGCTGCTGGAAAAAACTGAAAACAACAAATTACAGTGATAAAAATGATAAGGTAAAGCCTGGTTTGAAACTGAATTATTTTAAAACAAGCAAAAGAATTATTTTGAATTTTTTGAGAATTTTTTTTCATGATTATAACATCGAATATCTAAAGGAATTTCACAAAATTTGGGGTGAAATGAAGGGAAATCGGGCACCGTGAGAAGTCAGAATTATTCTGGAAGTTGATTTTTGGGTGAGAATTTGGAGGAGGGAGTTTTGGGAATAAATAATTTTTTATTAATAAATAATAAATAAATTTTCCATTATTTTGATTCCCAATAAGCATCCAGGAAAAATGTAGGATTGTGCTTCTTTTAATTGCTTTGATCACCTGAAATGAAGGAATTTAGACATAAATTGAGTGCAAATTTTAAATTTTTCTCCTTCTCTCCTGCAGGATTTCCTTAAGGAAATGTGTTTTACTCCTGATTGTAAAGGCCTCATTTCAAAAATTGTTATTTTCAGTTCTTCTGGGCTGGTCAAATGTGAGGTAAGTCACATTTTCTGGGAAAAAATCAGAATATTGAAAAGATCAAGGGAAGATTAGAATTTAACTGCAAAAAAACAACTTGTGCTGCTTTAATTCCAGAATGGGAATTTTAATTATTTGTTTTAGAGGGGCAGGGATTGTTTTGTGGGGCTGGAATTCTGGAATTCTTTAGCAATTATTCCCCAGTGCCACAAGAGATGGAGAATCCTTCCCAYAATGRTAATTAATCATAATTAATTCTCCCCAGAGCGATATTGATCCGAGAAAAGTGAGAATTTATTATCCCCTTTGTACCCTGAATTTAATTCTTCTCTCATCTCTTTTTTTTGGCAGTTTGAACAAAAAATCCCCAAACCCAAGGAGCCACCCAAGACCATTATTAAACAAAAATGTTCAAGGTAAAATTTGTTTTTTTTGTTAATTTGAGAGCAAAGCAGAGTCCTCTAGGAGGGACTTTTGTGCCTTTTTATTCACATTTTGGGAAATGATCCTCACCCTTTGCCTGCTAAACTAAAAAATCTGGRCAAATCCACGATAATCCAAACATAAAAGCATTTAAATTGTCCCACAGAATTTATTTTGGGGGGAATTTTTTAGGAAAATGTAAATTAAAAATGAAATGTAAATAAAAAATTTATTTAATGCTGCTGCAGGTACTTGAGCTTTGCCATGAGTTTGCAGATTTTTGCTCGAGTAACCTAAATAAYGAAGAATATTATTAAAGTAGATTTTTAAAAATGAAAAAAAAAATCAAATGTTAATATTTAGTTCAGAATGTTGACTTCTAATTTAGAATAAAAGGATTGAAGTTAATGCTGATTTAAACATCTTTGATGGGAGTGAAAATCATCACATTTTGAGGATATTGATGTTTTTATGAAATTTTGTTGTCCTTAAAGTCAAAATTAAACCCAGATTTATTCCTTTTTTACTTCTCACTCTGATATTTTTTAATGTTTGCCTCCTGAATATGTTTTTTTCAGCCTTAGGAAGATCAAAATGAAGCAAGAAAAAAAACTGCAGCGGAAACGAGCRCGGGAAGAGGCCCGGAATTGTGCCMGGRAAAAAGAGGAGGAAAAGCAGCAGGGAAAGGAAAAATCTCATTACAGCCACAGGGGTACGTGGGAATGGGGATTATGTCATGATTTTCCATGGAAATTTGGATTATTTTCTTAATTTCTTCATGAAAATATGGATTATTTTCTTAATTTCTTCATGGAAATATGGATTATTGTCCTGATTTTCCAAGGAAATATGGTTTATTCTGATTTCTCCATTGAAATTTGGATTATTATCCCAATTTTCCATGGAAATGTGGATTATTATCTTTATTTCTCCATGGAAATATGAATTATTGTCCTGATTTTCTATGGAAATGGCGATTATTGTTATGATTATATGGTTTATTGTCCTGATTCTAAATGGAAATGTGGGTTATTCTGATTTTGCCATTGAAATTTGGATTATTATTCTGATTTTGCCATTGAAATTTGGATTGTTATCCCAATTTTCCATGGAAATGTGGATTATTTTCTTCATTGCTCCATGGAAGTATGGATTATTGTCCTGATTTTCCATGGAAATACGGATTGTTATGATTACTTCATTGAAATAATGGATTATTGTCCTGATTACATGGATTATACGGATTATTGTCCTGATTTCTCTGCAGAAATATGGATTATTCTGATTTCTTCATGGAAATGTGGATTATTGTCCCAATTTTCCATGGGAATGTGGATTATTTGTTCAGATTTTTCCACAGAAATCTGGATTATTGTCCCAATTCTCCCAATTGAAGATGAATTCTTTCCAATTTCTCTGTGAAAATACAGATTATTGCTCTGATTTTCCATGGAAATGTGGATTATTCTGATTTCTCCATGGAAATGTGGATTATTTTGATTTCTCCATGGAAATTTGGATTATTGTCCTGATTTCTCTTTACTCTGCCCTTTTTCCTGGTTTATTTTAATTGTGATTCTTGGAGTCACTGCAGGTCACTGTGACACCCTAAAATCTGAGCAAGGCGTTTGTTTCCTTTAAAAAAAAATTAAATCA